AGGAAAAACTCTTAAGTTATTGCATGCAGTCAATAATAGGCATTGCATTTTTGAAATTAATTTTGGGCATTATCTTGGTTATCTAAATTATCTAACAACCTAGATGGAAACATGTCACCAATCTTTAAAATATCTTTATTTTTATCAACTGATTTAAATTAGTCTACTATTAAGCTATGTGAAGTGTCTACTTACCTACAAGGTAACCTAAGTAGAACATGTACTTTGAGATTAACACATCGAAACATACACAGTTTAAATCATATATAACCTTTATATTCTTAGACTCTAAGGCTTCTATTTGTAAGTCCCATGTGCCTTTGAAGTCTCTTAACCCTCATCTTGTAGCTTTTTAAGTGGACTTAGCTATTTCTAAAACACTAGATAACTGGTTTTTATGTGGGAGGCCAAAAGAGCCAGAGAAAAATAAAATGAAAAGTAAAATTGCTTAAACCAATGAACAAAAAAGACACAGACACACAAACAATTACTTTTAGATCACAGTGCACTCTTAGAAATATTGGCCAAGTTGAGCTACTATAATAATCTGTTGTGGGTTCATTATAAATTGACTAGTCAGAACTTTTTGGGGTAACCAATTAGTGTAGACATTTCTTGCAATAAACTAACATCAGTAAGGATGTGGGAGAGAAAAACCTCTTACTATAGATTTATAACCAGAAAGAGTCAGGAAGGGAGAAAGAGCCTGGAGAATTTTTCTTTTTATTTTCTAGTTTACCTTTGGAGAAAAAAAATCAACTTTTAATTTAACAATAGATCACGTATCAAGGAAAGCAGATGCCATGCGCATCCTCTCCCCTTTTCATGTGGTGGAAGGCACTAGGCTCTCCTACTCTCTAGCTCCCTACCTCTTTGGTGACTACAGAAAAGGAAGTTGACAGGGTCTGAGTTAGCTCCTTTTTATATTTATCCCAGATTTTGATTTAAAATTATTTTTCTATAATTTTGTTATATTTTCTTTCTTTCACCTTCAGTCTCAGATTATTACAATTTTAAATTTGACTATCTGTCAACAGACTTTAAAGTGACCATGAATTAGTGCTCTTATTTTAACATCTGCAGAAAGCAGAGAAAAGAGCAAGTTAACTCTTTAATGGTGGTTTAAGAATTTACAATCCATAAGAAATATTTTAAGCAAAAATATCAAATTAAATTGGAATCCAAAAGTAAATTTATCAATTAGCCAAGATTTGTAATAATGGGCTCTTATTGTAACTCTGGGTTGGCTCTCATGCTGTAGCATGAACATTTTATGATTGACTCTATTTTTATTGGAGCATGGGGAGTTGTTCCTTTCTAGTTTTCTCCTGAGATAAGGAAAAGTGTGGTCTTTCTTCTCATATGTGGCTGTGGCTGTGGCACCAGGAGTTGGGTCCTCTTCAGCCAGTACCAGTTCCAGTTGAGGTGGAGCCACCTGTCTGAGGTACTGGAAATTTTAGGCTGAGGGTAGGATTCCAGATGATCTCATGTGAAGGAGGGAACCAAAGGTGAATCCTCACTTTTCTTGTTAACTCCTCAAGTTTTCAGACGAAAGAGGACAATCGGTCTCTGTGGCCAACACAGGGAGTAATCTATCTCTTTCTGAGACCCTGGTCTCTTATCATTAACAAATTCAATCAACAACTGACATACCCAGTCTTCATCCAATCCAAACTTTGGCCAGAAGAATGATGAGGCAAGGATGGGGGTTTGTGGCCAAATGAAAGAACAATATTTTATCATGTTAGCTTTCTGTTTTTTTGTTTGTAAGTTGTCACTGCAATTCTTTAACATCAGTCTGAGGGAACTATTGGGGTATTTCATTCCCTGAACCCCTTGATTCCCTAACTTGTCCTAACTGGGCAGCACATTTATTTCTCATTCTATTTGTCCCAAAAGCCTAAGGGTCAATCTCCTGCACATTGAGATGTCTTGCCAATAGTCAATGTAATGAAATTGATCAGGTTGGCCGGGGTCCCCTGCAACAACTCTGGACACTTATCAAGTGATTCCCTCAGCAGGCCTTCCCACCTCAAAAGATGGCCAATTAATTGCAAAGAAGGTCTAGAGCTTTCTAGGAGTCAGTGTAACACCATACTCACCCAAATATACCTTTTAAAACTTCTTTATCATACACACTAGAGGAGTCCTTCACTCTGTTTTCTGCCCATTTCCTCCCCCTAACAGACATCTTTCATGCAAAAGAGAGGGAGGAGGGAAGGGAAAGGGTTTTAATTGGAAAAGTTGTACACTTACTTCATCTGTCTCCAGCCACTGTCTTTGTGGATGTATTTCAGGCGCCTCTTAGCACTGGCAGAGGTCCTGGGGGCCTAATCCTTGCCATTAGCTGTATGAGGATCATCATAAAACCATGGTTTGAAACTCAACACTCACTTTGGCCCTGTGTTCAGGGTCAGAAGCTTCTTTCATCCATCTCATTCACTCAAAAGCACACAATTTCAGCCCTATGCCCAGTGCCCAGTGCCTTGGGGCTGTGGTTTTATTCCTTCCAAAACTACTCAGGCAACTCCAGTGCTCCAGTCTGCCACCTAGTTCCTGAGACTTGTGGTTTCAGTTTTAATAAAACTTACTTGGGCAACTCTAATACTCTGATCCACTGTCTAGTCCCTGAGATTTTGCTGTTTCAGTGTCAATGAAGCTTGCTCAAGCAACTCTAGGAGGTGATCAGTCTCCTTCTGCCTCTTTAAAGGCAGGACTATCAAATAGAACCCAGGTGTTTCTAAATATAGCCAGCAGTGCTTTCTGAATTGGTTCCTGGACCTCCAGCTTCCATCGTGTGTCTGGAACTCTTGCCCTGGCATGTTGGGAGAGGCCAGCCTCCCCTACAGATCAAACAATCTGCTGGCACCAGGTGAGGTCATGTCTTCTGGTGCTCTGAGGTTTGGTCTCTAGTGACAAAGGAGGTAGAAATACACCATCTCTGGCCATGAGCCCCAGAAATGCTGTGGGATTTTCATGTAGAGAGACAGGATATCAAGGCCTTTTCTCCAGGAAACAACTTTATTCATGCCAGCACTTACTCTGTGGGTCCGAATCTAAAAGCTGAGTGCCAAACATGGTGCATATAGTTGTACCCTTTTATACAATTTTTGTGTCTTTTCTCCCTTATATGTACATACACTAACATTTTACTGTCTGTTTGGTTATACATTAACATTTTACAGTCTGGTTGGGTATGATTTACGTCACAGAATTACGTCAGAACTATACATGTGTACACAGAGGTTGATATCACTACATTGTAAAAAGTTTCTACTCCTACACATTGGGAGGGGCCCTACCACATTATTCTTTTCTCTGTGGACTTGTAGAAATCATTTAACAACTGGAGTCTCAATTTCCATACATGGAAATGAGACACAAGTGCTTCCTCAGGATGGAGGTTATGGTGAAGATTAGTTGAGATGAAAAATTTCAACAGAGGAAAGTTATACTCTCGAAAGCACCTTACCAATGTGGGATGGAGAGTCATTGTTATTCCTCATTTTCTGAATCTGAGATTGGAGTGTACAGAATCAGAGGGACTCTGACAGTGACAGAGTACACACGACTTAGGCTCAATTCCTCTGAAAGTTGACCCTGACGCAAGAATTTGAGAGTAAGTAGTTCCTTTGAGGTATGATGCCAGGATGAATTGGTGGAGAAATGTTTGAGTGAGACAGGGAAGGAGGGACAGAAGGCTGTCAGTGTGCAATAATGAGCAGGTTGCTTCTCTGAGGAATTAGGACTCATCCCTGTGTGTAGAGTACACTTCCCCACTCACTGTCTTCCCTGAGGGCCAAGCAGCCATGTACATACCACCATAGAAAGCTCTCAGGCAAAGCCGCAGGGCCTTGCCCCGGGAGGCCACCTATACATGCTAGAATGGTAAGAGCCAAGAGGACTGAGGGGCAGTGCATCTGCCACAGACAGTATCTGCTACAGCTATCACTGAGCTTAACTGTCATATGCATTATCTGCATTAAATTCCAAGTCATTTTAATAGTTCCTAAACATAGCTTCTCACTAGAATTACCCGGGAAATATAAAAAGTCAGACTTATGGGCCCGTATTTGGAAAAATTTAATTCAGTATGTCTAGGGCAAGGTATGAAAACTGACATTTTTCAAAATTTCTCCAGGTAATTCTGATGATCAGTCATTTTGGGAAATGCAGCACTTAAAACCCATTTCATCCAGGTATTGAAATAAAATTAAGACTAAACATGTTCAGAGTTTAATACAATATTACATCTAGATTATGGAAGAGGCAATATTTCAGCCTACTGCTCATTTCTTTACCTCAATGTCACACTTGCTCTTCAAGGACCTGTATGTCTGACAGAGGCAAGGACCATGGCTCCTGAATTTTAAAGGGAAGGGTGAAACACACACCTGATGCATGTAAGGTTCTAAGCAGCTACTGCCAAAGCTTTCTACTACCTACTTCTACTTCTTATCACTGTCTACTATCATCTGATAGTACTACCTCCCAATAGAATGAAGCTTCTGAATGCTCTTTCAGGTCTGCGTTTTTCTCACCTTTTCCTTTGCATTGGCAAGGTTCTTAACATCACATGTCTGCATTATTGAAATGTCCTCCTAGTTCCTCTCACTGGCTTGGTCTCCACTTCTCATCCTGTGACTCAGGCCAACACAGACTTTGCCACCCCACTCTCTTTCTTAGAAATCTTCCAGGACTTCCCATACTTGGCTGTAAAATGGAACCAGTTCCTCTCCAGGCATATGAAGCCCTCCTGATCCAGTTTCATGCTTGTTTCTCCAGGCTTTGTACTGTAAGTCTCATATAATTCATCAATTAACATCCAGGCAGGAGAACAGAAGCCTCATTAGGTCCTTGAACAGAAAAAATTTTAAGTAGAGAATGATTAGAAAAGCGTTGGAGGACTGAAAGAAACAAAAAGAATGTTGAAGTACTACAAAGGTTGTAACCGTGGGAAGCAGCTGCCCATTCTAAATCTGGAAGCCAAAGGAAAGGGACTGGGCACAGATATCTCAGGAAGGGGAGACACTCCACTGCTGCTGGTAACTTGGGAGCTCAGAAGAGAGATTCTTCTGGGGTGGAACTTATTGCTTTGATGAGAGGGGTTCCTCAGGTTCTGCTGTACTTCAGGATGAAGGCTCTTAGGAAACTCTTTTTAGATCTTTGATGAGAGGGATTTTCCCTGATGAGGATGATACTTCTGAGAGAGCACAATAAGGCTAGAGACAAAGGACCCTAGAGAATGGAGTCAATTGCACCTACCAAGATGAAGAGTCATTAATGAGGCAATGACAACAGGAAGAAGTGAACATGGAGGAGCCAAGGGCACCTCTCCTTCTGCCTTCTGATCTCCTTACTGCCAGTACTTCTCCGACCCTGAAGGGAGCAAGTGGACAAAAAAGGTAGGCCTGATATACATATTCCAAGCCCTAGCACCACATAGCTGAGTATAGGTTGATATGGAGCAGAGAAACAGTATCTTACTGACTGACACAACACTTGGAATGTTTGGATCGTCAAGAGTGCTTGGCCCTTATACATCTCAGCATTTTGAGCAATGCCTTCCTATCTCTTTGAAATTTTCTTCCTATCCACAGGTTATTTGGCCCATATTGACATTCAAATGTCTACTCATTGTGGAACCTTTTATATCTTCTCTTATTCCCCAAGCTGCAAGTCAGAAAATGTCCTTTTCTTGTTTCCCTCTGTATTTCTGCTTTTATAAAGCAAAGATCACATTGTGTTATGATTATTTGCTTTAAGTTTGTATCTTCTTCTTGACCATGAGCTCTTCAAGGGAAAGATGTTGTTTTATTTGTCTTTATTCCCAGGCACTCAATAAATGTGTGTCAAATGGCAAAGACCAGATGTAGGAATAAAGAGAGGAATGAAGAGGGTAGGTGCAGATTGTCTGCCTTGCAAACACAACAGCCAAAGGAGCCCACAGATGGAGAAGGCAGTGGCTCCTGCTCTCCCTGTCTATCAACCAACTTAGCTGTTGCAAAAGATGGAAATGAGAAAAAAAATCATGGTATTTAGGATTGTTTTAGAATTTAGCAACAACATCAGAATTCTAGTTCCATATCCTTTTGGTCCAAAAAACATTGAGAATTGGACAGATATTTGGTTACCTTCAGCACAGTTTGCTTCCCTGTTTTCCTCCCCATTAACTCCATTTTCTACAGAACCATGACTATTTCACCCTAGTAATTAATTCTTAATGAAATATTCAGTAATATTTGTTTGAGGTTTTGGAGCATCTTTATTTTAATGGAAATTCCCAAAGACTGACAGTCCTTCTGGAATCTAATTCTGCTAATGGCAGAATCTTAATTTCTATTATTTATTTATTTATTTATTTATTTTCACACGGGGCTATGAGTGAAGGTATTTTTGGAAACTTTCATATTTATAGTTTTGTTCCTAAAAACTCATTTAAATTCAGATCCAGCATATGCTTATCCAGCATTAGTATATTCTAAGCATTCTATTAGGTACTTTTGCATTCATTGTATCATTCAATTTAATCTTCAGAGACACTGTGAGGTGGGTATTATTATCTCATATTTATACTCCAGGAAACAAGGGATCAGAGGGATCAAATGACTCGCCTGTAAACAACAGGACTGGAATTTGAATCTAGGTCTATTTGATGCTGGGCTCATTGTGCCTTCCCCTGAATTCTCCTTCTAAGTGGGCTCAGCTCCAAGGTGGATTTGGTCTCTCACATAGTCTGAGATTTCAAGCTGTCTTGATGAAAAGGCATTTTGTTTTAGTGCCCAGAAATGGACCCTGATACAGAAGGAAAGGCCAAATCCCTGTGGAGAAATCTCTTCCTTCTCCAAAGAATGAAGGTATTGTGGTACATATTTCTATAAACCATCAGTCCCAGGTAATGCCCACATCTCCTATTCTGGTGGAGAAATTAATTGGAGAGTTGTGGGTACAGCATCAAGGGCTGCGGTAAGAAAGGAACTCACAGGCTTTCCCCTCAGGTCACATGACTTCCCTGATCCTGGGTGTCCTCCGTAGTAAAATTAGATGTTTGGAGAACATGACACTGAAGTGTCCCTTTGGTGCTAAGATAGCATGAATAACCTCTGTTTTGGTATATAAGGTTCTTTGATCTTCAAGGTCAATCCCTCTGTTGAGTATTTAAGCACTCTCAGAAGATGAGCAAAGGTCAAAAATGTTGAGAACTTTGAATCTCTGACTTAAAAAATCAGTTTTTCTTAAACAGGAGTTTCAGTTTCCAATTATGTGTGAAGGTAATGAATTAGTGGTCTCAAGTCACACCATGGGGAAGTGTCTTCCAAATCAACTCTAGTGTTCTAGGTCAAGCTGTCAGGACAAATCTGTCCCATTAACCCAATCAGTACTTCTTCAGTATTTGGAACTTGTCATGAGCTGCCATGCTTAAATGCTAAATAATTCATTACACTCTCCTTTCCTGCTATTGTTGCCTTGAACAGCTCTTGACTCTGCCCTTTGCTGCTGTTCCTTGGAGCCTGTGTGAATTATGATTTTGGGAGGAAGACATATGAGGCTTGGAGGATGACAGCCCCTGGGGAATGCAGACAAACCAAAGCCATGGTTTCTATGGCACCCCAAGACCCCATGCTGCTGAGTCTCCCACATCTCTTATCATAACATTAAGAACTGCCTTGTAGTTCACCCGAGGACATGTTTCAGAGATATCATAGAATATTTATTAGCATTATTACATTTTTCTCCTACACCTTTCATCCCAGAGGATCCCAAAATGCTTTGCTAACAAAATATCCAGGGAAATTTTACCCATTTCTGAAATTAAGCTGCTGTTCCTCAATTTTTCTTTCACCACACTCTTTTCCATCTGCTTCCCCTAATCCATTTCCACCTGGATTATTATGACTCTTCAATGTTTAACAAATAACATCTCATTTCCACTACTCCTCATGGCACATGAGATGCTGAGTTCTGTTCAAAAAGTTTTGCAGGTTCCTGGTTCTGTGTCTTTGTGATTTTGTTTCTTTAGAGCAGAAATGCCTTCTTTTCTTTATGATGCTTTGTTCTCTGTTCACCTTGTGTGGTACAAGTGCCTCTAACACATGCCCATCTGAAGGTTCCTTCCCATGACATGGTGGTTGCTGACTGGCTTCCCCTCTAAGGAGCCCACTCCCTACATGCCAGAAAGGATGTTTGTTTGCTACCAGGATCCACCCAAGTGTTTTCACAGGAAGAACCTTCAGAAATGTCACGTAAATTATTTCCATGGTCATGATAGGACAGGGGAAGTTTTTAGGTCAATTCCACAACCGATGCATTTGACATTCAACAGATATTTATTATTCATTTAAAAGTATTTATTAAGTCCATCCTCTGATTCCTCTCCAGGCCACAGTGATGAAAAAGTAAGCTTTAGTCCTTAGGGAATTTGAGGCCCAGAGGGCACTTTGAACATCAAGAAAGCAATTGCCAGTGTGACCTCTTCTCAGTACAAGGGAATCTCAGGGAGCCAGAAGAGCAAACAGCAGAGGGCAGATCTGTCCTCACAGTGAGAAATGATGGAAATTAATTCAGCAATTAGGGATTCTGCCAAAAAGGACAATCACAATATTGTTGTTCATAACAAAGATCCACCTTCCATTTTCCTACTGTTTTTATGAGGTGTGACCATCATGTAATAGAGTGATTTTTTTTAAAAGAACAGAGCAAATTATATTACAGGGGATCTCAGTATTAGAAAGAACCTGAAAAGTCATATAGTTCGACTCTCTTTTTGATGTAGCTTTTCCCTCTAAAATGTGCCCGAAGAGTGAATGCTTGTGGGATTCTACTTGAAAATTTCCAGGGGGCTGTTTTTCAAAAAAGTCACTTTAGATTCTATATGTACATTAGAGAATATAGAGGAAGATGTTTTATATTTGCTATCTATTTATCTACATGCATACAATAAACAGCAATATATGAAATTTGTATATGCACATATCATGTATACAGGTATACATGTGTATATATAGCTATGTGTGTGTTTCTATAAAACAATTATGTTGTAATTCTGCAACTCTGAGAGATGAGTTCCAAAAATATTTTGGAAAATAGCTTTATTGTCAGAAACTTATATATATATACATATACATATACATACATATATATACATATACATATATATACATATACATATATATATATGTGTATATATATACTCTTTCAAAGTAACTAACTTGACTCTGTACATATAAGTGCCTAATAGGGCCTGAAAGTATTGATATTCATATCAATATACCTGAAGGTATATGATATTATTTCTTATGATTATTGAAAAATAATTTCATAGGGATAGCATCCATAAGACAGATTTTTTTTCTTTTCTAAGACATAGGTCTTGCTGCAAATGAGAGTGGTTTAGTGGAAAGGCTATGATTCTCAGGTGGATGTAAAATCAAATCATGACACTTGTATGTAGATGCATTAAGGCCTTAATGAAGTAATTTAGCATCTCTGAATTCAAGTTCATCTGTAAAACTAGCTAAAGTTACAAAAAGTCAATATGTTTAGCAGACAGCAGAAACTCAAGTTATTTTCAGTTCCTTTGTGAAGAAATTGAGATGGGTCTTATAACTAGATTTTTGGTAAACAAAATGAAGGATAGGAATGTAGGATGATTTTTCTATGATTCTTAATTTTCTAAATATAAAGGCTGATGAGTTTTTTTCTGATGTGATACTATTTTTTTCTGTCCCAAAAGATATACATCTTTTTTCTTTTTTTAATGGAGAAATACAAATGTATCCCTATATGTGCATAAAGCTTAATAGTTTCTTTATACTTTGTTTGAACATGTGTACCAGGATGTCAAAACATTCTCTTTTTTGAAATCACAACCGAGATCAAATGTTTTGAGAAGTCTATTTTATTTTTTTAAGAGTAAGAAAGGCTTATTGGGAAATAGGAATGGGGAAGATGAATATCTCCTGAAAAACAGAAGGGGTCCCAAGTGGGTTGCTCTTGAGAAGCCTATTTTAAAATAAAGTGTATCCTATGATTCTTAGGATGCTGTGATGATACCTTGACACTCCTTGCTGCAGGAGTTTGTTATAAAGTGTTGTACCTCATTCCAACAACCACATATGATTGTCCAAGTTTATATCACCCTCTGGTCTCAGAAGTGAACCAGCTCCTGCATTGGAGATGGAAGCGTTGCTCTACCCTAAAGTTTGGATTCAGTCAGGCAGTCACTGAGAATGTTGTGGAATAAGAAACTCATGGTAGCAACTAGACCTTACAATGTTGAGAAAGAAGAAGAAAACTGAGGTCCATGAAGGGGGTTGAAGGAACAGAAAATGAGTCAGGAGCCACGTGGACAAACTGCAAATATATCCAGCCTCCTAAATGGAACTAAAAGGGAGGACCAAGAGAA